TCTCTCTAGCTGCCTCCCTCCCCGCACTTTGCACTGCAGCTGGGAATGCAGCTGCCTCTCCTGGCTTGTCCCTGGCTCCATATCACATGTGCCAGCGTGGCTGCGGGCTGGTTTCTGAGGGGGTCAGGCATTTCCCACCAGACTGGCAGCAGGAGGAGAGCCCAGAGGGCCCGCACATGCGGTCCTGGAGGCCACGGAGAAGACCTCACTCCCTTGCACAGAGCCGAGGAGCCTCCACAAGGGACCTTTCTCTTTCCCCGCTGCTTTGCTGAGTCCTGCCTCTTACTATTTATCCCCTGCCAACAATGTGTCAAAGGAGAGACCTCCCTGGGCAGCTGCCACCGAGCTGGCTATTTACTGAGCAGATCCCAGCCCCGGCAAGGCTTGACAGCAGCTAAAAGAAGACAGGGTTGGCTGCAATTTGGCAGCTTGTGGAGCGAGAAGGAACCTTTCTGCTTTATTTGTTGCTTTTCCAAATGCATCAGCATCAGGCAGCATGTAATCCAAGTGGATCAAAATCCCTCCAGTAGGACCCACAAACCCCTCGAGATGGGACTGGCAGAGCCTGCGAAGCAGTGGATGCTCCGCCACAGCCCTGCCAGACATGGAGGTCTACCTGCCCCTTCCCCAGAGTGATGAGGATGGTGATGGCAGCGCCGAAGGCCTGTGCATTTGTGCCAGTCTGGCTGGATCATGCTGCTAAATGGAGGCTGCCGTCTGCCGACACCGTGATTACGCAAACCATCACCCCAGTGCTTCCAGGGTGAAGTAGCAGCATGGTTAGTGCCTTCCCCCCCCCCCCTTTCCCTCCCCTTTCCCTTTTTTGGGGAGAGAATGGTCCCTTTTCCCACTCCCCCTCCCTGCCAGGAACTGCTGGCACAGACTCCGCTGTGAGCCTTGTTAAACAGTAGCAGTGTTTGGGACTCTCGAGATGCTTCCTTGCAGCACTAAAACCCAGCAGGAGAGGTGACCCCACGTGCATTGGGTGAATTCAGCTCGGCAACAGCTACGCCGCATACAGGCTGGATGCAGTCACAGCCCCGTGGCTGCACCAGGGGAACAGCAGTGATAGCTCATCGCATCCAAGCGGTAGGAACGGCTGCATATAGCTTGAAAACAGATTTCTCTAGCAGGATCTGTTTAGTAGTGCATGTCTAAATATGTCCAAGAGCCCTGAACTTGGCTTGCACTCAACATGCCAAGCAAATGAAAGCATCAGAGAACCAGAAGGGAACCTTAGATTGTACTAAAGTGCCATTTGCTACAAAAATTCCAAACAAAGGGGGGGGGGGGGACCCCCCATTTTCCCCCCTTTTTT